TTTTTTTTTTTTTTTTGCCTTTTTTTTTTTTTTTTTTAATGCATCCTCGGAAAGAAAAACATCCATAAATCCCCTTGCCTGCAATGACTCAGGGGTAACGGTGTGTTCTCCTGAACCTTTTGTGTATCCTTCACTGATTTGGACACTATCACTTGATAGTGATCAAGAAGATCTTTCCATCTTTTGTTTTTTTTTTTTTTTTCCACCAGGCTAAGAGGGATGATCATGCCAACCTGAAAGGTAGGAAAGAGCTGGAATTCGCAGCGTGTCTGCCCCTTGTTGCAAGGAGCTGGGCTTATTGCAAAACTGGTTTCGGCGGTGGCCAGAGCTGGAGCTGTAATGAAAGGGGGTGTTGAAATCACCTTCCCTTCCAAAATGAAGAGGTGAAGGTTGCAGCTCCCCGCTCTGGAGCTTCTTGTGATCTCGTTTTCCTCTCCTGTGGAGGTCAGAGAGGTTGGACTCGACGATCTCGGAGGTCTTTTCCGACCTCAGCGATTCTGTGTCTTTGTTTGCTGTGGTCAGATGGGGGAGAGAGGAACGTCCCCTGACCCAAAATAATCTCTTGGGATGTTGTTTTTAAGGCTGAAATCCTTGTCCCCCTCTGCTGGTGGGAGGTTGTAGAGCCTGAAGGCCCCATCAGACGGACAAAGCCCCCCTCCGAGGTGACTCTGCCCACCTCTGGGGGGATGTGGGGCTTGGGAGGAATTTGATGGGAGATGGAGAGGGTTAATCCTACCAGGGAGTGAGAGTCTGCAGTGCTGAGCCCACTGACAGGGGTTTCAAGACCTGTCCTTTCTGGTGTCCTCCTGGTTTTCCCAGTTTGTGGCATCTTAGAGGCTCTTGGATGGGACTCGTGGTCTGAGCCTTGTTCCTGGACTTGGGAGGAACTTGAGCTGAGGTTTCCTTGACTCTTTCCTTAGTTAAAGTCTGTTCTAAGAGCTCTGTAGGACTTCTCTGCCTCCTGTGCATAGACACTCTTCACACAGCTTTCAGGAATGAACCTAAAAACCTCTAAAATCTGCCCTCCTTCCTGTCCCAGTCAGCGTTACCGAAGGACTTCAGCAAGTACAAAGTGATGTGACAGGTTATTATGATTTTTTTAATAAATTTGTATTTTTAAATGTAGTAGCAACGTTAGAAATTAACATGGAGACTAAGGGATAAGCCAGAAACAAGGATTTGCTGCTGGTCCTTGGGCAAATTCATCTCTTAATAATGTCGACAGAGAAATTAAGATTATTTTTATTTGTCCTTGTAGACAAGAACCTTTCCTGAACATTCAGGTAGCTCAAAATGACCAATTAAATGACACCTGTGAAGTTTTCCAGTTCTTTTTCCACAGCTTGTTGTAACTAAGGAAGGAGATTTTTTTTCCTTGAAACTTTTTGGTTTTTTTTTTTGGTAGAAGTGAAGCAAATGCATTTGGTGCCTGGAGTGCTGCATTTTCTAGACTGGAAGATTACTGTGCTATTTTTAATATTTTTTTTTGAGGTCTTTTACTCCTTTCCCATCCCCTTGTCTCGTTCTCTGCTCCCTGCAGAACCAAATGAGAGGCTCTCCACGACCAGCCCTGCCGAGGGGGGATCTGTGAGTCGTGATCTGTGAAGGGGAATTGCTTCTTGTCTTCATTATAACTCCACAAAATGCTTTCAACCTTGCACTCGGTGGCTTCCTGAAGTGTTTCAACTGATTGTGTTTTAATTGAGCAAACTGCCCTTGGCTTGGCAGAGCAGGAGAACTCTGTCCCTGTGACGGGGAGCAGAGGTGGGGAATGTCCCTGCCTTTCAGCCATGGAAGCAACAGGTCCTGACCCTTAAATGTCCCTGAAAGGAGCCTCTTTTGGACCCCTCCCAGCCTAATTCTTCCATTGCTTTGCTCTTTCTTTTCCAGATTAAAACCGAAGACCTCAGCGACTCGTTGCAATCTGCCATCCCCCCTAGGTCAGGTCACCTCGTGCAGGGATCATCGATGATGCCTGGAAGCCAAATTGCAGGGGTGAGTGGCTGGGCTGCTCCAGGGGATCCATCAGACCTTTGCCAAAGCCCTGGGGACACTGACACTTTTCCACTAGGCTGTGCCAGTAAAATTCAGCTTCCTCCTCAGCCTTTCTTCTCTGCAGGTGGATTCTAAAGTAGACTGGACACTTCCTCGGATGGGATTTCCTCTGAGGGCTTGCTAAGCAGGCAGAAACCACACCATGGTCAGGAAATCCCTTGAATTGGAAATAATTGGAGGCTGAGACAACACCAAGGGGGAGTGTCAGATGTGTTTGCTCTGCTCTTCCTCATTCATGGGTGTCTCCTAATGCCATTGTTGCAGATAACATTCTAGGCTAGATTAACTCTTAATCTCAACCAGTAGTTTGCCTCAAATTGA